TTACACGTCACAAAGCACAAGGAGTAAAATAAAAGTTTAATGTGGAGTGATTTTAGAATTTGGTATGTTTGTCTTGTAAGCTTAATAGCCATAAAAGAAAACAAAATTGCCACACAAAAGTACCGTATTTATCGGCGTATAACACGCACTTTTTCTCCCTGAAAATAGGGGGCAAATTATGGGTGCGTGTTATACGCCGGCCCTTTAAATGCTGCAGCCGCCTGAGCACTCTGTCAAGAGCGGTCAGGCGGCTGCAGTTGGTTCTCACCTCCCCTCCCGCGTGGCCGAGCTGCTCTGCTGTCCGCGGTGGCCGGCCGGAGTGATAGGAAGGTGCACGCTCAGTGTGCACCTTCCTGTCAGTCCGACCGGGTACAGGAAACAGAAACTCCTGTTCCGCAGCGGAACAGGAGTTTCTATTCTGCTACCAACCGGTTGTTTCAGGAAGGTGCCTGATCCATTATTACCAGCGTTAACCTTCAGCTACTGAGGTAAAGTGTGGGGAGTAAGGGGGGAGGGGTGAAGGGGTAAATGGGGAGAGGGGGTAGAATAGGGAGGGTAAGAGGTAGAGGGGAGGGGAGTAAGAAGGGGGTAGGAAGAGGGGAGAAGGGGTAGGGGGAAGAAAGAAGGGGGGTAAGAAGGGGGAGGGTAAGAAGAGGGGGAGGGGGAGTAAGAAAGGAGGGTAAGAAGAGGGGGAGTAAGAAAGGGGGGTAAGAAGAGGGGGAGGGGGGAGTAAGAAGGGGGTAAGAAGTTCTTTATTTGAAATTTAAGTTTTTTTTTCCTGAAATTTTCTTCTTAAAATGAGGTGCGTGTTATACGCCGGTGCGTGTTATACGCCGATAAATACGGTATATATTTATATAAAGTAGACATCACAGGCTATTTACCTAGGGTTGTTTTGACACTTTCTAAGTAGCCATTTCACCGCCAACCTCTGCTAAATATTGGAGTAAAATTGTGGGTTTTTTTGGTTTTTGGCACACAAACTTATAACAAAGAAATTCTCATGTGTATTTTGTAAAGTTGGTGTGTGCTATTCCTGTTCAAAGTTTTATTTTGTGTTCAGTTACATCTGCTGAGTAAAATGACACCCCCATTGTATCTCTTTGGCGCTATTTCGTGAAATTACAGTGCCATATAGGAGGCCTGTTCTTTTCAGTATTCACTGTAGAATTTTGAGATATGGATTTATTGAGCCTATGCTTCCATTTGTGGTATTATAACCGTTTGACTGTTCAAACAAGCCCACAAAGGCCTACCATTTGTAAAGCTACAGTGCCATATAGGAGACCAAGCCATATCAGTTTTTACCGAACTTTGAATTTTGACGCTGGGCCTATGTGCAATTTCCAAGCATCTTAGTAGGGTTTAAATTCAAACTACCCCACAAAGGCCTGCCATTTCTTAAAGTAGACACGCCAGGGTATTTCAAAAGGTATATTTTGAACCTTAGCGTGGGATCATTTTTCCGCTAGCTTGTACCAAGTGTAGTGGTAATAAGTGTTTTTTCTGCCTTTTTGACACACAAAGTTAGGTTGCACAGTATATTTTGCAAACCTTATGTGTGCTACGACTGTATAATACTTCATATGTTGCTCAGCTATGTCGTCTGAGTACAGCAATACCACGTATGTACCTTTTCCAGGTATATGTGGATGTTGAATGGGCGCATTTGAGACGCAGCCATTCAGTTTTTTTCTAACTTTGAAGTTTTACGCTGTGTCCATGTTCCAATTTGGAGTAGTTTAGGTTGGTTATTGAAACTTCCCCACAAACACATACTATTTATTAAAGAATACACCCTGGGGTAATTCAAAAGGCATATTTTGAAACTTAGCGTGGGATCATTTTTTCTCTAGTTTGTTCCAGGTGTAGTGGTAATGAGCGTTTTTAAATGTATTTTTTTACTTTTTGAAACTTTTTACTTTTAAAAACTAGTTTTTAAACTTTTGTTTTGCTTATTAATTTTTTTAAACTTTCCTAAACTTTCTTAAAACTTTTTTACAGATTTAACATTTTTCTAAGCTTTTTTTTTACCGTTAACCCCTAACTAGCAGTAAGCAGCACTAACAGTAAATTCCCCATTTTCCCATAACTCCCACCCACCCCAGCTAGAAAAATATATAATTATAAAATATTTAAATTAATTAAAATAATTGAACCCCTGAGGGTTAAAAAATAAATAAAAGTTAATCCTCAGGGGTTAAAAAAAATTAGATCCAGGGAAGGGGTTAATTTTTATTTGGACTGTGTAAAGGGGGGTGTTTTTTTATTTTTTACTTAAACGTTATTAAAACTTTTTTTTTGCTTAATTTTTAACTTTTTAAAGTTTATTTTAAAACTTTTTTAACGTTAACCCCTAGTTAGCCTAACACCAAATCCCCCAATTCCCCACTAACTTCCACCCACCCCAGCTAGCTAAATACATAATTTTTAAATATTTAAATTAGTTAAATAAATTTAATCCCTGAGGGTTAAAAAAAGAATTAACCCTCAGGGGTTAAAAAAAAAAGAATCAGATGACAGTAAAATATAATCCCTGCCAATTGATCACTGTAGTCAGTGATTAATTGGCAGGGAAGTGGTTAATTTTTAATTAAAATGAGTAAAGGGGGGTGGGATTTTAAATAAACTTTATTTTTTTTTAACAGGGGGCAGGATCAGCACTGTTCCGGCTCCCTGCACTTCACACAGAACCAGGAAGTGCAGGGAGGTGGAAGGTGAGTATATGCAGCACATGGGCTCGCTCTGACAACATGTTGTCAGAGCGAGCCCATGTGCTGGGGCAGCCAGATCGGGTGCTCCCGGTCTGCCTCTAATACAGAGGCAGACCGGAGCACCATTAACCCCGCGATCGCGGCGATCCGGGGTTCATTTTAACTGGTGATGGACAAAGTCCGTCACTCGTCGTTATGGCAATCCCCTGAGTGATGGACCTCGTCCGTCACTCATCGTTAAGGGATTAAAGCTCCTAGTAGTTTTCATTTTTCAGATTTTGCATATTTTCATTCAAAACTGAAAATGGGAACAACACCTAGCATCCATACAAGGCTGCAAGGAATCCGATTCTGTCCAAAGCAGTATATATTCAGAGTACGGCAATAAATTCCAGCATTTCCAAAGTGTACAAATGCAAGGTTTCAATAGCTGCATTGCTGTTTATCAATACATTCATGACAGTGCAGAACATTTCTGGCAAACAACTCACTGTGAAAAATAAATTCCTCTTCCTGGGAGGCGGCATACAGATTGTTATATGTGGGTGCCACATTTTATAGCAGTACCCTGTTCATGCATAAAAATCCAGCCCTTCACAATGCTTAGTCCATGTATATTATTATTATTATTATTATTATTGCCATTTATACAGATTCCGTAGCGCTTCACAATATTATTATAGGGGGGATTTAACTATAAATAGAACAATTACAAGAACACTTACAGAAACTATAGGTTGGAGAGGGCCCTGCTCAAACAAGCTTACTGCCTATAGGAGGTGGGGTATAAGACACATTAGGACAGGAAATAGCAGTCAAATTAGGTGGGAGTGAAGCAGAGCTAGAGGAGAGAGTAGAGTGCTGCCCTTTAGGAGAGAGCAAGAGACAGGTATGTGAGGTAGAGGTTACTCTGGGAGGCCATAAGCTTTCCTAAAGAGAGGGGTTTTAAAGCACTTCTTAAATGATTGAAGACTAGGGTAGAGTCTGATGGCGGTAGGCAGGCTATTCCATAGGAAGGGAGCTGCCCGCGAGAAGTCTGATTGGCCAGGGCTGTGTTTGAATAATGCTGGCTCTGCCCCTCTTTGTCAGTCTCAGCAATCCTATGGGGAAACACTGCAATTGGATCAGGCTACCACATGTCAGCAGACTGCTTGTTTTTCTGAGTCTAAAAGCATGCAGATTTACAGCTTCAGGCTTGAATACAGTAAGATTTTTACTATATTTATGGAGGCATGAGGGGCCCAGGGGGGCTAGATGGTGGTGTTAACACTATAGGGTCAGGAATACATGTTTGTGTTCCTGACCTTATAGTGATCCTTTAAACCTTTCCCTGTTGACCTTCTGCTGTACCCCACAGAGCACTTGAGGTGCTACATTTCTTGTTATAAACATTGATGTTTATTTTGCTTTGCATTCTTTATAATTACAATTCTGAGCTCCTAAAACTGTGATCTCAGAGGTTTCAATGACATTTTCTAAGGGACTAGCCTCTCTGCACAAATTATTTTGTGACTGAGATGCTTTAAAACTCCCACCTCCTTACCTAGAACCAGGAGAAATCAAACTATTCTTTTTTATATTTATTTTGAATTGATTATTTTTACCTTTTTAAATGATAGAAAACCTTCCCAGGTGACCAGGATACCAGCACCTATTTTACCCTACTCCAGTGTCTCATGGCGACTACTACTGACCCTCCCACACCAGCATACACCACAGCTTTACTGAACAGTGCAGAACATTTCTGGCAAACAACTCACTGTGAAAAATAAATTCCTCTTCCTGGGAGGCGGCATACAGATTGTTATATGTGGGTGCCACATTTTATAGCAGTACCCTGTTCATGCATAAAAATCCAGCCCTTCACAATGCTTAGTCGATGTATATTATTATTATTATTATTATTATTGCCATTTATACTTTCCATTAATTTCCATGGGTTAAAAATCCTCGAGAAAATGCTATTTGAGGTTGTAAAGCACATCATGCTCATCTTTTATATTTTGAAGATATTTAAAAGAAGGATGTGTCCTAAAGCTAATTAACCATCTGTATATACAGGGTGTTTATAAACAACAATCCAAATTAAGAGGTACAGCAATTCATGTTCACAAAACATTTCCATTTCAGGTCATCTCCACTCTCACTGATCATCAAGGCAGCTACAGTTGTAATCAAAATTATTAAACTCACATTTTAAATCAGGTTTATTGTCAAAATAAGCTACCTTATATACTTGAGTTAAGTCGACCCGAATATAAGCCGAGGCCCCTAATTTTACCACAAAAAACTGGGAAAAATAATTGACTCGAGAATAAGACTAGGGTGGGAAATGCAGCAACTACTGGTAAATCTCTAAATAAAATTAGATCCCAATAAAATGACATTCATTGAATATTTATTTACAGTGTGTGTATAGAATGAATGTTACCTTTTTACCTGGCCAGGAAGGGGGCTATGTGAATCCCTGGTCGTCCAAATTAGGATATATTCCAAAACCAAAGAGCAACATAAGATGCCCTATTACTAAACAAATTGAGAGCTCAACTCACCTCCCCACTCTGTGTATCAAAGATGTATAGTGAGCCATCACTAGTGCCTACCACGGCCATTCTACCCTCTGAGCCCAACACAGCACAACTGGGAGAAGAAGGGACCTCCAATGATTTGCTGTGGGTATAAAATAATATATGAGCATTGGCTGTTCACGGGGGACCGGAGCAAGCTCTAACTTACCTTTGTAGCAGCTCCGTTCAGCTTCCCCGTTCAGATCACAGTGTAAGTCTTACGGGCTTGTAATGAGCCTGGCGGTCCTGGTCTGTATTATGGCAATGTAAGCTGCCATAATACAGACCTTGACTCGAGTATAAGCCAAGTGGGGCTTTTTCAGCACAAAAAATGTGCCAAACAACTCGGCTTATACTCGAGTATATACGGTATTAGAAATGAACAAATGAAACAAAAGCAATCAGATTAGCTCAACACAGTGAATACTTCAAGTGGTTTTCCCAAATTCAACTGAAAATGCAACGTATAATGACTTCTCAAAACTATTCAGCCCTCTGAATAGAATCCCTCACAATAACACAAATATGCAAAGCAAGTATTGTCTCAAGCACACCTGGTGCAACTAATCAAGGGCTTCATTAGTGCCTTCAGATGTGCTTAAGCTGGAAAATTTGAAATACCTGAACTGACTAGGGGTTTGTTGAGAGTCATGTTTGACTGCATGTTAAATATATGGCTAAGTCAAAAGAATGGTCCATAAAGTTAAGAGAAGAGATCATCGCCCTTCACAAACAAGGAACAGAATACAAAAAGATAGAGAAGGTACTGAATGTTCCTAGAGACACCGTTGGAAGCATAGTTTGCAAGTTCCAAGTTGAAGGAACAGTGGTTAAGTTAACTTGACGTGGCAGAGAAAGGAAGCTGTCAATGGCTGCAACCAGATTTCTGAGAAGGCAGGTTGTGAAAAACCAGTGAGTAACTGCAAAAGACCTGCAGGAAGACTTGGTGGCAAAAGGCACTGAGGTTTCTGTGACCACAGTAAAGCGCATATTAAACTCAGAAGGTATCCATAACTCCAAGACGTACACCACTACTAACCCAAAAGCAAAAGAAAAGTCTGCTTCAATATGCTCAAAATCATATTTATTATTACTATTATTGCCATTTATATAGCGCCAACAGATTCCTTAGCGCTTTACAATATTAGTTAAGCCTCCGAAATTTGGGGATTTTGTTCTGTGGAGCGATGAAACAAAACTGGAACTTTTTGTCCCAATGGATCAGCGGTATGTCTGGAGGAAGAAGAATGAAGCATGAGCTAAAAAGAACACTATGTATACATTTAAGCGTGAAAGTGGCTCGGTAATACTTTGGGGCTACTTTGCATTCTCTGGTACTGGAAAGGGGTGTGTCAGTGTCCTCTCTGCATATATATGTGTGTTAGTGTTCTATGTATTTAAGTGTGTGTGTCAGTGTCCTCTGTGTGTGTGTGTGTGTGTGTGTGTGTCTGTCACTGAATGTGTGTCTTTGTAAGTGTGTCTATTAGTGTGTCAAAGTGTGTGTGTCTGTCAGACACTGTGAAAATATTGCAAAAGGGGGGCGTGGTCTGACTGCTGACCTTAATGGCAGCCTAACTTGAGAGCTCCCACTCATCCACTCTTAATCAAGCACCTGTCAACAGCATCAACACTCACAGTGACCACCATCTGCTACCTACATGTCCAATCTGGGATTAAGTGCAAAAGCACCTCAAAAGAAGCAGGTAGAGAGACGAGAATCCAATTTCTCTGTAGCAGATATGTTTGCGGCATCGCAACTTCCTGCGGGCTTCACAAGATGGCCTTCAGCCAAGTTCACGCTTTTCCCTCTCCCCAGCATTCACAGCAGACAATGCATGTCTGGATTCCCAACCCAGGGACACTAACCAAATCCTCACTAAACTAACAGAGGTGCTTACTTACTTAGCAGGGGAGATTGTACACAAGAATTTAAGGCTGAGATAATGGCTCTGGGAGCATGCACCTCTGGCCTACAGAACAGGTGGAATCTGTAGTTAAGGCCCACAACGCAGTGGTGAAACACTCTTCCATGATGGAACAACAATTTGACAACCTGGAAATACTAGTAGAAGATCTCTCCAATAGATTCAGATGCAAAAACTTGCGCATCAGGGACTTGCCTGAGGCCCCTAATGAGGGCCCGCCGGTGCAAAAGGTGGAAGAGTACTTCCAACACCTATTGTTTAACATCCCAATAATAAGTGGGTAATTTACTGGGCACACAAGGTGATTCCCTGGTAACCTTATGGCTCCAACCCAGAAATTCAGGACTCATGAGCTAATTCGCAAACAGGTTTTTTTTTTGTTTAATATGATTTGATAATGTATACAGTTCGTTATTAGACAGTTAAAATTATTTGCATGGCACCTAATACGTACTCTACAGTAGACATGTGCAATTCGGTTTTTTTCCGAACGCAAATTCGGACGAATTTCAGAAATTCGGACATTCAAATGCTTCCAAATGGCTGAAGTGGACATTTGCAGAATTTCCGAAGTGCTGAATTTCAAAAAGCCGAACCGAATTTCCGAAGTGCCGAATTTCGGAATGCCGAACCGAATTGCCGAAGTGCTTCGGATTTCTGAAAAGTGTCAAAACAGGAGAGGGTTGGGGTTAGTGTAGGGTTAGTGGTTGGGGTAGGGGTAGGAGTACAGTTAGGGGTAGGGTTAGTGATTGGAGTAGGGTAACCCTAATCCTACCCCTAACTGTACTCCTAACCCTACCCTACCCCTAACTCTAAACTTACCCCTAACTCTACCATAACCCTGCTCCTAACCCAACCCTACCCATAGCCCTATCCCTACCCTAGCACTACCCTTAACCCTACCATAACCCTACCCCTAACCTAACCCTATCCCTACTCTAACACTACCCTTAACCCTACCTTACCCTTAACTTTACTACTAACCATACCTTACCCCTAACCCTACCATAAGCCTAATCCTAACCCTGCCCTAAACCCAACCTTACCCCTAACCCTACCATACCCCTAATCCCTAACCCTACTCCTAAACCTACCCTGACCCTATACCTTACCTAACCCTACCTCTAACTCTACCTCTAACCCTACCTTTATCTCTACTCCTAAACCAACCCTAACCCTACCCTACACCCTAACCCTACACTTACCCGAAGTCCAGAATTTCGGAATGCCGAACAGAATATTTTTCCCTCTATAGATACCACGGGCCCTGGGTGGCTCACAGGAAACCTAGAGTTTATCGCCCTAGTAATTCACCATGACAGGCTTTGGCTCCCACGTACAGGGCAACACCTAACAGCAGCTAACATCATATCATTATGGCTGGGAAGGCGGGGCTTGTGACTGCCGCTTTGGACCTGGCGATGTGTACCCACGATGGGGTATCATGAGTGGTATTTCCCCCAGAAACCTATTCCACCTTCCTATGTTGTACACCCCTCTCCCTCCGTTTTGGAGGGAATGGGGGCTACCCGGGTGGGGGCGGTGGAGGCAGGGCCGCCATCAGGGGGTGACAACCATGACAGATATCACGGGGCCCCACGTGGAGCGGCGGAACTGCCGCCGGTGCATCTGCACCGGGGCCCACACGCTGATGGGGCCCATTAGGTGGCCCAAGCTTTTAGGGCCACCCAATGGGTCCTATTATCTTCAGGGGCCCGGTCACGCTGTAATGGCGCTACCGGGTCCCTTTAAAAAAAAAAATGCAGCCGCAACGCAAGTGCTGCTGGGAGGAAGTGAAGGCCAGTCACTTCCTCCCAGCTTACTCCGTGCGGAAAGGAGGACGCAACCTGAAGGCGGAGAGGAGAGGCTGCCGTCGCCCATCATCCCCAGCCACCCTCCTGCAATGCAAAGGTAAGGAAGAGGAGGGTGGCTGAAAAATGAATTCTGTGTGTGTATATATGTATGTATGTATGTATGTATGTGTATGTGTATGTATGTATGCCTGCATGTATGTATGTATGCCTGTATATATGTATGTATGCCTGTATGAATGCATGTATGTATATGTATGTATGTATGCCAGTATGAATTTGTATGTATGCTTGTATATATGTATGTATGTATGCCTGTATGTATGTATGTATGTATGCCTGCATGTATGTATGTATGTATGCCAGTATGTGTCTGTCAGTATGTATGTATATATCAGTATGTATGTATGCCAGTATGTATGTCTGCATGTATATGTATGTATGTGTGTGTGTGTGTGTGTGTGTGTATGTATGCCAGTATATGTGTGTATGTATGCATGTATGCCTGCATGTATGTGTATGCCTGTATGTATGTATGCCTTTATGTATGTAAATATCAGTATGTGTGTGTGTATGTATGTCTGTATGTATGCCAGTATGTGTCTGTCAGTATGTATGTCTGCATGTATATGTGTGTGTGTGTGTCAGTATGTGAGTATGTATGTATGTCAGTGTGTGTGTGTATCTGTATCTCCTTAAGCATGTGTGTGTGTGTCAGTATGACTGTATGTGTGTATGTCTGTTTCAGTATTTGTACTGTTAGTATGTGTGTATCTTTCTGTGGGCGGATTTGGAGGCGGGCCCTGTGGGCGGGCTTGAAGGTGGGCCTGCATGTATGTAGGGGCCCCAAAATTTCTGATGGTGGCCCTGGGTGGAAGCTTAACCTCTAAAACACCCCAAGCCTATGATTCCAGACCTTAGCTGCGGAACCAGATTTCCAAGTTACCAAGATGCCCCACTGAAATCCTACATGCTAAAGCCACCACAATACAACGTAAAGATTACCCTTCACCACAAATATACAAACCTCATTAAAACAATTTTTTTTTTTTAAAAAGTCCCGAATTTCGGAAGTGCCGAACCGAAGTGCCAAAGTCCTGAATTTCGGAAGTGCAGAACTGAACCAAAGTTTTTGCCCATGCACATCCCTATAAGACAGTCCTTCGCCGACACTTCATAAAGGTAGCCACATATAAGAAACTAGCTAAAACAGAAGATCTACAGTCAGCCCTAAGAAAGGTGGAACAGCAACATAAAACTAATCCTACTAGTTCCAAATTGAGAGAACTAAATACTCTCAGACACTCTATAAAGGAAATAGCCCACTCTCTATTATGGTTGAAACGACTGTTTTTATGAGAAGGCAAATA